GTGCCTGCTCTTGAGAATAATCTTTTGAGTGTTTTATGTCTTAATGCAGCTAAATTTGATGTATTGTTTGCTAACAGAGAGTGCAAGATTATGAAAGCAAACAAGGTGTGTGCAGTTGGCAAGTTGCAGAACAATGTGTATGTATTAGATAACGATGCTAAGGCACAAGCTGTTACAAATATCAACCCGCATAACAATTGCCAGCACTTGCTACATAGACGGTTGGGTCATGTTAGCTTTAATACTATCCAAAAAACCCTAGCCCTAACAGGTCAGGGAAATGTAAAAGAGTGTAAAAACTATCTTGATTGTGAAATCTGTAAAATGACCAAATCAAAGTCTTTTCCAGTGGCTAAGAAAAGTCAAAGGGTGTCTGAGAAACCTTTAGCACTGGTTCATGCAGATTTGGTGGGACCTTTCCCCAAGAGTCATTCTGGGAACCCAATATGTGTTGATTATCACAGATGACTGGTCACATTTTTCATGGGTATATGTTATGAAAAGGAAGTCTGATGTGTACACTACTTTTAAATACTGGTACAAAAGAGTATTGAATCAGTTTAGGAATGTGCTAGCCATTCAAACAGACCTGGGGGGTGAATTTACCTCAAATGCATTTGAAAATTGGTTGAATCAAAAAGGTATAAAGCACAGATTTTCCAATCCTTGCACCCCAGCCGAAAATGGCCTAGCTGAACGCAAAAATGGAATATTACAAAATATGATGCATGCCATGTTGAAAGATTCTGACCTGGGTATTGCATACTGGGCAGAAGCTATAAAAAATGCTTGCTATGTGAGTAACAGGGTTTGGTCCAGTGCAGTGGACAATATTCCATACAAGATGATGTATAACAGGTTTCCACAACTTGATTACCTAAGAACCTTTGGTGCAAAGGCTTGGGTGAACATTCCTCTGGAGATGATACCAAATTTGGTGTAGTGGTTAAGTGCGCGGACTCTAATCTGGGAGGACTGGGTTTGGCTCCCCACTCCTCCACATGCACCTGCTGAATGACCTTGGGCAAGCCATAGTTCTTCTGACACAGCTGTTCTTGAAAAAGAGTAGTTTCTGTCAAGAGCTCTCTCCTTTCTTACATATCCAAGGAAATTCTGCTTGCCACTTTGGGGCCAGGAAGCAATTTTTCTTCAGGTCAGTTTGGCTGGAGATTCTGGAGGTTTTTTGTCATCTTCTGGGCATAGAATAGCAGTCATTGGGGGTGTGGGGGAAGAGGTATTTGTAAGTTTCTTACATTGTGCAGGGGGGTGGACTAGATGAACATTCCTCTGGAGCACAGGAGGAAAGGGGGAGCAAGAGCTAAAAAGCTGGTGTTTCTAGGATACCAACCTGGAATGAAATCCTACAGGTTTGCTGATCAGTACCACAAGCTATGTTTCAGAAGGTCTGCTAGCTTTTGTGAACATGATAGCTGGAGAAGGATTCATTCAAATGAGTTACCCCAAATGGTTGTGCTGCCAAGCACAGTGAACACTGAGAGTGTGGTTGATGGTGTAACTAAGCAGGAGGTTGTGTCAAAGGATGAGAAATCCTCAAATAATATGCAAAGTGAAAGAGTTTTACCGAGTGTCTGAACGCAGTACAAAGGGTGTTCCGCCTGAAAGATATGGGTTTGTGGTAAACCATGTTTTTGTAAAGGAACCAGAGTGCTACAGTAAAATGTTAAAACTGCCTGAGAAGGAGGCAAGGTTCAAGGCAAACGGAAGGTTTGCAATAACAAGGTTGCCCAGGGGTATTTTGAGATACAAGGGCTGAGAAACATGATGACTCTCTGTGACAAATGAATAAAGCAATGAATAAAGCAATGGCAACTTGGATTGAGTATGTAGCACCTTATGGTCGAGTAGGTTATACTGTGTGTAAATTGTGGTTTTAATGTTTGTATAATTTGGTTTTAGATGAGTTGTTTTATTGTTTTATTGCTGTAAGCCGCCCTGAGCCGCTTCGGCGGGAGGGCGGGATAAAAATCAAATAAATAAATAAAGCAAACATATGGAGCAGTAAATAAAGGTTGAGTGCAACAGGGATGTTTATTGTAACCAACAATGTAAATAACAAAGTGATTGTAAGATAAACATGATGTAAATATGAATGTAAATGTTGAAATGGTACAGGGCTTAATGTAGCTAAACCACTGTACATCAGAAATGTAATATGACTGACATGGTCACAAAATGCCTTGATGGTAAGAAGTTTGAAGTGTTGAAACACAAACTTGGAATGATAACGCAGACTTAAGGGGGAGTGTCAACATTCAGTGTTGCAGTTAAGTCTGGTTATAGATCTGTGGCATCTATGTGTAAACTGTAAATAAACTGTAAATAACTTTTACACAAGCCTTGAAGACTCCAGTCTTTATTGGATACCCTTGCACCCGTGCCCGGTCTGCAGTGGGCTAACACCGCGCAATATTAACACAAGATCCAACCAATGTTCCCTTTAAGCTGTGAAGTTTTGTGAGCAAAACTCCTACTTTGTGAGCTACTGGTATGAAAGTTGTGAGCAAGCAATTTGGCTACTGCAGAAATTAGTGTGCTCTGGAGCCATTCTTCCTGAGCTAAGACAAAAATGTGTGAGCTGGGGGCTAAAAAACTGTGAGCTAGCTCACACTAACTCAGCTTAGAGGGAACAATGGATCCAACCCATGATCTACTATCAGGCCGTCCTATTCTCCCATCTATATCTGAACAAGGATTTGGTGGTTGTGCTTGGAGGCTCAGTCACACAAACCTTCTCGTCAGCTTCTGCCACTTATCAATTATGAATACACCTAGAAAGCTCTTGGAATATTCATCAGGTATAAACGACATCCTGAGTACCAATCCAAGCTCTCCTCCCACACCGCGTTGTTGGTAACTTTCATGCCAATGGCATCTCTCACGCACCTTCGAGACAGCATTCATTACAATTCGTTTGAGGGTTTGTAGCCAGACCTGCCTGCACTCCAGTGCCAGGAGACAGGATGGGCATACCTTTCCAAGGTAGCAGATGTCTACATTGCTTTGCCGGTATTACAGGTTTCTTCCAGCGACAGATTGCAAAATTAGCATTTGTGCTTTTTTTGCTGTGAAAAGAGACACGGGAACACCTGGCCAATGCTCAACCCCGCCGCCAGCTCCCGATCGCCTGCTCACTCTGTCCCTGGCACCGTCACTCCCAGAAAGAGGCGCCTGGCATAAAACCGAGTCTTGCTTCCTCACAGATGGCAAGACAGCTTCCACCCCCCCGAGGATGCTCCAGAAGCAAGTCAGAGACACGGTTCTGTGCGACGGGCCTAGCAAAATTAGCCACCGTTCTCATTTTGCTTATGAAATAACGCTGTCAGCTGTAATTGGGAATGGCAGGCTGCTGCCCCGTGGACAGTATCCCCAAATAAGAAATTGGCAAGGCGTGAAGAGCAGAAGGCAGGAGAGGGAGAGCAGGAGAATCAGCCCTGGGGGGCGAATGGCTCCCTTCTGGGAAGTCCTGCTGGGCTCTGGCTCATGTCTTCGTTTCCCTGTGAGGAAGAAGAGGAGGTGGAAGGAGCTCAGAAAGATCTCTAACTGAGGACGGTGCGCAAGACGCCTGGGGGACATCCCCTACTGGGCGGGTTGAACAGCTCCACACAGATTCTGTTCAGGGCACTGCTGCCGTGTCGGGGGGGGGGGATTCCTAATCAAGTAGGACCCTGCAGACAATGCAAGGCCACCATTCTCAGTCTCTCGTAATCCAGACAAGGGCAATGAGGCATCTGGACAGAACAAGGAGAAATAAGTGCAGAACCGCCCACAGCTCTGTCGTTCCTTGGTTCTCTTTGCTGCAGGTTGGGAGGTAGGGATGCCCCGGTGGGACCTGGGGATCCCCTGGTTTTACAGATCATCCCCAGACTACCGAGATCAGTTCCCCCTGGAGAAAACGGATGTTTTGGAGGGTGGACTCTATGGCACCGTACCCCATGGAGGTCCCTGTCCTCTCCATGTTCAATCCCCAAATCTCCAGGAGTTTCCCAACCTGGATCTGGCAACCCTACCCCCCCAATCCCCCGCCAGTGGCCAAAGGGCAACCCTCATTGGGACCCAAGAAGGATGGGACACAAAAGCCAGACAGAGGGCATGGAAGAGGACAGGCTGAAAGAGGACGCACAATGGCAAACTCTGACAAAATGACCCCCACTGAGGAGAAGAAGAAGAGATTGGATTTATGCCCCGCCCTTCACTACCCAAAGAGTCTCAGAGCGGCTTACAAACTCCTTTCCCTTCCCCTCCCCACAACAGACACCCTGTGAGGTAAAAGCAGAAGAAGAGATTGGATTTATACCCCGCCGTTCACTACCCAAAGAGGCTCAGAGTGGCTTACAAACTCCTTTCCCTTCCCCTCCCCACAACAGACACCCTGTGAGGTAAAAGCAGAAGAAGAGATTGGATTTATACCCCGCCGTTCACTACCCAAAGAGGCTCAGAGTGGCTTACAAACTCCTTTCCCTTCCCCTCCCCACAACAGACACCCTGTGAGGTAAAAGCAGAAGAAGAGATTGGATTTATACCCCGCCGTTCACTACCCAAAGAGGCTCAGAGTGGCTTACAAACTCCTTTCCCTTCCCCTCCCCACAACAGACACCCTGTGAGGTAAAAGCAGAAGAAGAGATTGGATTTATACCCCGCCGTTCACTACCCAAAGAGGCTCAGAGTGGCTTACAAACTCCTTTCCCTTCCCCTCCCCACAACAGACACCCTGTGAGGTAAAAGCAGAAGAAGAGATTGGATTTATACCCCACCCTTCACTACCCAAAGGAGTCTCACGAGTGTCTTCCAATCTCCTTCCCCTCCACCTCCCCACAACAGACACCCTGCGAGGTAGGTGGGGCTGAGAGAGCTCTTTTGAGGTCTGCTCGTGAGAGAACCACTCTGAGAGAACTGTGGCTTGCTCAAGGTCACCCAGCGCTGCATGTGGAGGAGGAGTGGGGAATCTCTCTGTTGCACACGCAGGTCCTAAGGCCGCCTACCGTGCACTGCGCCAGAGCCGCCGTGATCTGCCGAATGTCGTCCACCGTGTTCACCTTCATGGAGTTCAGGGTTTCTGTGATGTTCCTCCGCATCCAGGCACGGAAGTCTTCCTCGTCCTCGGCTCTGGCTTCTGAAGGCAGGGAGCGCTCGTACTGCAGTTGGGGAAGAGAGGGGGAATAAAAACGGCCGTCCGCTGTTGGAAACAGGACGCCGGACCAGATGGTCTGATCCAGCAAGGATACTCTTTCCAAGAGCATGGAGTCCTCTTGGCACAGCAGGGGGGGAAGAGAAAGGTGCACGTGTGTTTCTCTGGCATTGCCTGTGTCCAAAAGGACTCTCTTCCATTCATTCCCTGTCCCCACCCGCAGCTTGCATTATATACCTCGTTCAAGATGGTGATGAGAGCCAGCGAATACTCAATGACCTGCTGCGGGTCATTCTGCTTGACCAAGCCCTGGAGGACCACCTCAGTCTGGTTATACAGCCAGTGCGGGAGGCTGTGGAATCCGTTGGGCATGCTGGGCAGGGTGATGGCTATCGTGCTGGAAAAGGAGAAGAAGGAGAAGATTTTCGACCCCACTTTTCTCTGCCCTAAGGAGTCTCAAAGCAGCTTGCGATAGCCTTCCCGTTCCTCTCCCCACAACAGGCACCTTGTGGGGTAGGTGGGGATGAGAGAGTCTTGAGAGAGAACTGGGACTGGCCCAAGGTGACCTTTCACCAGGCCTGTAGCTGCACTGGGGCTTTTGGGCCCTTTCTTAAAGGCAGAGACCCACAAGACTTTCTCCTGTAAATGTTTTTTCCAATCATTTGAAAACATTCCTTTAGAGCGTGCGCTCCTTTAAGCAAAGTGGGGTCCTGCAGTTGAGTAATTCCCATACTGAGCAAGGGGGTTGGAGTAGGTGACCTCTAGGATCCCTTCTAACTCCATGTCAAGAAACCGGTCTCCTTGAAGAGAGTTTTTCTGCCTCAGTGTTAGCTTTCTTGACTACGGAAGTTATCACCTCCACCTGTTGGCTTGTTCTCAGAATTGCTGCCTAGGCTGGCAGAAGTGATTGATTTGCAGCAGCTGAGAACTGTCATCTAAAGTGTTTGACAGCTCGCAATTTAGAGATCTATCCTGGTCACAGCTTTCTACTGGCTAAATGGCTTTTCTTTCTGCACTGAGAACTTCAACCCCACCAGGAAACAATTTGCCCCACATGCCACAAAATCCTGGCTACGGGCCTACCCTCCACGTGGCTACTCCCCAGCCAAGCCTAGAAGAGAAAAATAGGTTTTTATACCCTGCTTTTCTGTGCCTTAAGAAGTCTCAAAGTGGCCTACAATCGCCTTTCCTTCCTCTCTCCACAACAGGCGCCTTGTGAGGCAGGTGGGGCTGAGAGAGCTCTGAGAGAACTGGGACTGGCCCAAGGTCACCCAGCAGGGCTTTATGTGGAGGAGGACTGGAGAACCAAACTGGATTCTTCAGATTAGAGTCCGCTGCTTTTAACCACTACACCATGCTTTTCCATGCTGAAAAAGAACCTATCCGGTGTTGTGTTAAAACCGCTGCCTGTAGAAAACTAGGTACAATAGAGGTCTTGTTCCTGAAAAGCTATATTCCTAAGTGCAGGATTATTATTTTTTTTGGGGGGGGAGGTTAGCTTTGAACCATTTGACCACACAACTCTGAAGGGGTCTAGCCAAGAGTGCCTTGAAAGACAGCAAATGTGTCGATGGCCCTATGTCAAGAACACCCCTCTGTCTTGAGAGAAGGCCACGCCTGACTCCAGTGCCCAGATCCGGTAGGATTCTGCATTGTTTCGAGCTGGCTTAGATGATCTCTGTGGATCCTTAAAGGAGTAGAAGCAGTCCAGCCGCGGGCTCTTTGATCGTGAGCTGTTTCCCAAGGTTCTCGCATGATCCACGCACCTGCCAAACCCTGCTCTCATTCAAACCCTATCCTTACAGACTTTTGTCCATCTGCCCAATTCTTATCTACTCTCTGAATTCATTCCCTCCCCAATTAATCCACAGCGCCAATTAGAGCACAGGACGCCACGTTGCGTGCTTAAGGACAAAGGGATTCTTTAACGATGAACGGCTCAACGTTATGTTTCCAATTTGTCTCCGGCTGTAGCCCATTCATCACAGCGCAGCTGCTGATCGCCAGGGCGGACAGAACATGACATTCTCTCTCCCATGCCAAACGGACAGGATGGGTTAGCGCAGCTGCAGGGCTCTTCTTCGATTTACAACCCAAGAACAGGCTTTCGTTTCAGCCTGGACAGATCTTCTGCCTGCCGCCCAGAATCACGTAGTATCTTAAAGGAGTTGTAAATCTGGATGAATAGGGGGAAACTCTACAAGAAGGTACAGCAGGGAATTACTTTTAAATTTTCAATCTTGGGGCATGAGAAAAGAAGAAGAAGCAGTAGTAGTAGAAGAAGAAGGAGATTGGATTTATACCCCACTCTTCACTTGGAGTCTCAGAGCGGCTTACAATCTCCTTCCCTTCCTCTCCCTACAACAGACACCCTGTGAGGTAGGTGGGGCTGAGGGAGCTCTGAGAGAACTGCTCTTGAGAGAACTTGTGACTGACCCAAGGTCACCCAGCAGCTGCATGTGGAGGAGTGGGGAATCCAGATTAGAGTCCGCGCTCCTAACCACTACAGCGAACTGGAAGGAAGTGAAGGGGGGATGCATCTAGGCATGGAGGCAGATCCCCCACTAGCACAAGCCCTGTTGAGCATATGACCAGGACTCTGTAGAGTTTACCAGACATGGATTATATGCTTTATTTTCAAAAGTATCTTCTGAAATACAATTGCTTCAGTGCTACTGCCAACGTGAACTTGTAACGAACTCTAGACTACCACCTACTGACAGAACAAAGCATTACAAGAGCATTAACTCTTAACACGCTAAAGTGACATTGCTTCATTTGTTAGCTATAGCAGAGCTGCAGAATGTATTCTTTCGTCACCAAGAGGACAGAGAAAGAAAAGAGTGGTGATGCAAAGATAATGACATCTCCGGACTGCGGCAGGAAACAGCTTTGCTTGTGCGCACGTCATTATGAATGGGAAAATAACCCCGTGAAGTCAGTTCTGCAGAGTCTTCCAGTATGTATCCGTGCTGGTCTGTAGTAGATCAGATTAATTCCAGTACAGTAGCACCTTAGAGACCGATAAGATTTTTGGGGGGAATAAGCTTTCAAGAGTCAAAGTTCCCTGGAGTAGAGTCACAAGTGCTCGGCCACTTCCACACTCTCAGAGGGAGCAAAACACGTGTGGAAAAGGGGGGGGGACCCAAAGCAATAGGGATAAACGAGTGACAAAAATGACAGTGGAAAAGTGGCCCTAGTGAGGCACTGGGGTTTTTGGAAGCCTCCTACAGACCTTCTTATGGGGCTCAGTGGCTCTGCTCGGCATGCAGAAGGTCCCACGTTCAATCCCTGGCATCGCCAGTTAAAAGGATCACTTAGGAGGTGATGAGAAAGACGTCCACCTGAGATCCTGAAGAACTGTAAAGAGGGGCCATGGCGCAGCGGTAGAGCCTCTGCTTGGCATCCCAGGTTCAGTCCCCGGCCTCTCCAGTTAAAAGGACCAGGCAGCAGGTGATGGGAAAGACCTCCGCCTGAGACTCTGGAGAACTGTAAAGAGGGGCTGTGGCCCAGTGGCAGAGCCTCTACTTGGCATGCAGAAGGTCCCAGTTTCAGTCCCCAGCAACATCTCCAGTTAACAGGACCAGGCAGGCAGTGATGTGAAAGACCTCTGCCTGAGACCCTGGAGAGCTGTAAACGGGCTCAGTGGAAGAGCCTCTGCTTGGCATGCAGAAGGTCCCAGGTTCAATCCCCGGCGTCTCCGGTTAAAAGGATCAGCTAGTGGTTGATGTGAGATCTCGGAGAGATGCCGCCAGTCTGAGTGGTTGATATTGACTGTGATGGACCAATGGTCTGATTTGGTACAGGACAGCTTCACCCGTTCCTGTGGTTCTACCACCTTTTGTTGAGAAAGAAGGAACTCCCTTTACCTGTTGAGGGCCACCACGGTCGCTCCCAGCTGATCTTGCACCAGCACCGAGACGTGCACCAGGGAGGCGCCCTCCTGGAACCCTGGCGGCAGGAAAGCAGCGTGCTCAGAATGGCTCCCTTTGTACACCCAGAATTCCTCACAGTGGCCGGTCCGGCAACGTGTCGCCAGGAGGATGTACACCAAGGGGGTGTCCTCGTCCTCGTTGTCCCTCCAGCCTGAAAATGAAACACACGGTGAAGACGTCAGCCAGGCAAGGGGGAGGCAGATTCCCCTTGGGGAGGGACTGCCCGGGCTTCCTCCTCCTCCTCCCCTTCTGGCACCTGCAAATCTTTGGAATTCTGACACACAGAAGTGGGAGTGGCCACAAGAAGAAGAAGAGAAGAGAGGAGATTGGATTTATACCCCGCCCTTCACTTGGAGTCTCAGAGCGGCTTACAAACTCCTTTCCCTTCCCCTCCCCACAACAGACACCCTGTGAGGTGGGTGGGGCTGAGAGAACTCTGACACAAACTGCTCTTTTTCAAGGACAGCTGTGCCAGAGCTTGCGTCTGACCCAAGGTCACATCAGCAGGTGCAAGTGTGCCTACCTTTATATTTGGGTTTAATGTTACTACAGTCTCTTCCATCTTATTTTGATTTCCTGACAGTTCCACGCTGCACGCTGGCTAGATTGAATGCTATTCTGTTCGGGGAGTTATTGAGTGACTGTGCCAATGCGGTTCTGGCCAAATAGACACCCTTCGACATTGTCTGTTCGAATGTGATTTGCTTTTAACGAGGCAAGAGACGGTTGGATGAAATCTTACATCCAGGACTCTAGATGTGAACTGGATAATGTGAGGTTTCTTTCAGCAGGGGTGGATTTTAATATCACATTGGCAGTCGCCAAGTTCTTTTCTCAGTCGATTAAGATTAAAAATCACTACATTTTATTTTATATAGGCACATGTATTAAATAAATCTCCCTCTATTTTTAGCTTTAGTGTGACACTGTTCAGAGCCGAATTGGCTGTATGAGCAGCAGTGTTCCCTCTAAGCTGAGTTAGTGTGAGCTGGCTCACTGTTTTTTAGCCTCCGGCTCACTCTGTGTTGCCTTAGCTCTGGAAGGGTGACTCCGGAGCAAACTAATTTATGCAGTAGCCAAATTGTTTGCTCAGAACTTTAATGCCAGTAACTCACAGAGGAGAATTTTTGCTCACGAGACTCCGCAGCTTAGAGGGAACATTGATGAGCAGTATCTTTTTTTTTTTTTTAATGTCAGGGAGCGGGGATTTGCCAAACTCTCATAGCAACTCTTCAAGGTTTAAGGCAGAAGTTCTGTTTCTTAGTATGAGTCCTAATCTGCATAGCCAATCATAAGCACTAGCTCCACCTGGCCCTGCCCACTTTCTATAAAAACACTTGGTAGGTACTAAAAAAAAGGTTGGTGGGCGCCATCTTGGGGATGAAAGCTTATACCCAGAATAAAACTTTGTTGGTCTTAAAGGTGCCACTGAAGAAGATGAGGAGGAGGAGGAGCAGGCTAGCCAAAGTGCATCTCCTTTCCCTTCTCCTCCCTGCAACAGATACCCTGTGAGCAATGCTCCCTCTAAGCTGTGGAGCCTTGTGAGCAAAAATTCTACTTTGTGAGCTACCGGCATTAAAGTTGTGAGCGAGCGATTTGCCTGCTGCATAAATTAGTTAGCTCTGGAGGCATCCCTCCTGAGCTAAGACAAAAATGTGTGTTGTTGTTCAGTCGCACAGTCGAGTCCGACTCTTCGCGACCCCATGCACCAGATCATGCCAGGCCTTCCGATCTTCCGCCGTCCTCTGAAGTTTGCTCAATTTCATGTTTGTTGCATCTATCTCATCCTTTGCCGTCCCCGTCTTCTTTGACCTTCAGTCTTTCCCAGCATCAGGGTCTTCTCCAGGGAGTGCTCCCTTCTCATTGGGTGGCCAAAGTCTTTGAGCTTCAGTTCCATTATCTGGCCTTCCAGGGAACAGTCAGGGTTGATTTCTTTTAGGATTGACTGATTTAATCTTCTTGCAGTCCAAGGGACTCTCAAGAGTCTTCTCCAGCACCATAGTTCATAGAAATCCCCATGGACAGTATCAAACGGCTAAAAATGTGAGAGGCTAAAAACCTGTGAGCTAGCTCACACTCAGCTTAGAGGGAACACTGCCTGTGAGGTAGGTGGGGCTGAGAGAGCTCTTTTCGAGGACTGCTCTTGAGACAACAGCTTTGAGAGAACGATGGCGGACCCAAGGTCACACCAGCAGCTGCATGTGGAGAAGTGGAGAATCAAATCCAGTTCTCCCAGATTAGAGTCCACGCTTCTAACCACTACACCAAACTGGCTCCCACTGGACTCAAACTTTGTTCAAATGACCGTGTTACATTGGTTGGGCTGAGAGCAATGATCCCTCTAAGCTGTGGAGTCTTGTGAGGAAAAACTCTACTTCGTGAGCTACTGGCATTAAAGTTTTGAGCGAGCGATTTGGCCACTGCACAAACTAGTTTGCTCTGGAGCCCTCCTTCCTGAGCTAAGGCAAAAATGTGTGAGCCGGAGGCTAAAAAACTGTGAGCCAGCTCACACTAACTCAGCTTAGAGGGAACACTGACTGAGCGTGGCCACGCTCCATGCGAGTGTAAGAAGCTTTGTATGAACCCAGTGCTGTGCCCCACGGACTCTCTTCCCCCCTGCTGGGAACCCCTGAAACGAAAGACAACCTGCTCTCAGAGCCAGTGTTGGATGGAGCCGTGGGCAAGTTCTCACCTGTGCATTCAAAATGAACCTTTGCCGCCAGTGCTTGGACACGCCCCAGGGGAGACAGCCGACAGAAGCCCCCAAAAGGTGGCTGGTTCGGAAGGAGGTCGATGGAGGCGTACCCCTCCTCCCCTGTGGCCAGATCTGTGATGTGGAAGGTGAAGGTGTATCCCTCGCCGTCCTTCAGGGCCCCCGGCCTCAAGACCAGATTCATCCCCACGTTTCCCGTCGACGTGGTGGTTCTGTCCAAGACCAGCGTCTTGTTTTTGAAGCTGTGGGCAGCCCACCGCTGTGCGGAGAAGAAGCAACAAGAAAGAAAAGGCCAAGGGAAAAACGTTTCAGTTTCATAATCTGAAAATTAAAGAGAAACTTCTGGTGTTTTTCAGACCAGGGAGGGGGAAAAAAAGGTTTCTACATTCAAGCTTCCAGTCGAATCTTTGGCTGAGGCCGCAGCACCGCTCCTCATGCGCCTGGGCCAAAAAGGACAGGAACGGGTCCAAGGCGTCTGATGGGAATACTTCCACCCTGTGATCCGCTTTTAGCCTCCTGCATTACATCACCCGCCCATGAAGCATTTCATAAGAGGGAACACAAAAACACAGGAAATAAAAAGTGGGTTGGCCTGGGATCTCTGTGGGATCTCGGAGGTTTGATCTGAAAGCTCCATGTTAGAGGCACCTGCCTGGCCTGGCAGAGAGAGACGAACATCAGAAGAGCCCCTGCTGGATTGGACCTGTGGTCCATCCAGTCCAGCATTCTGTCTCGCAAAGAGGCCAACTGGTTCCTCTGGAGGGCCGACCACAGGGCAGAGAGGCCAAGGCCTTCCCCTTATAAGGACATCAGAAGAGCCCTGCTGGATCAGACCAGGGAGGGTCCCTCTAGTCCAGCATCCCATCTCACACAGGGGCCAACCAGTTCCTCTGGAGGGCCAACAACAGGGCAGAAAGGCCGAGGCCTTCCCCTGAAAAGAGCTTAAGAAGAGCCCTGCTGGCTCACATCAGTGGTTCATCTAGTCCAGCGTCCTGTCTCACAAAGGGTCCAACCAGGTCCTCTGGAGGGCCAACAACAGGGCACAGAGGTAAAGGCCTTCATAAAAACATTAGAAGAGCCTTGTTGGATCAGACCAGTGGTCCATCTAGTCCAGCCTCCTGTCACACAGTGGCCAACAACAGGAAGGGCCAACAACAGGGCACAGAGGCCGAGCCCTTCTCCTGGTAAGAACAGAAGAAGAGCTCTGCTGGATCAGACCAGTGAGGGTCCCTCTAGTCCAGCATCCTGTCTCACATAGTAGCCAACCAGTTCTTCTGGAGGACCAACAACAGGGAGAGGGCCCAAGTCTTAGAAACATTATATTAAATTGTGGACTAGGGGTGCACCAGTCATCCTGTAACAGGCACACAAATTGTGCCAGGCTCTTCTCTGCTGACCCTGGAAGTCCCCTTACCCCCAGTTTGGAATTGTTTTGGCAGTTCAAGCAAGTCCCCTCCAGGTACACATAGGAGCTCCGGCTGACTTCATAGACAGACTGGGCTTTGCAGGAGACGCACTCCAAAGCCACGATGGGGACCGTCCCTTTCTTGATCAACACCTGGAAAAGAAAGCAAGGAGATGCCTAAGAACAGAAGAGAAGCCATGTTGGATCAGGCCGATGACCCATCCGGTCCAACACTCTGTGTCACACAGTGGCCAAAACCCAGGTGCCATCAGGAGGTCCACCAGCAGAGCCAGAACTCCAGAAGCCCTCCCACTGTGGCCCCCCCAAGCACCAAGAAGACAGAGCATCTCTGCCCCAGACACAAGAACACAAGAGAAGCCCTGTTGGAACAGGCCAGTGGCCCACCCAGTCCAACACTCTGTGTCACACAGTGGCCAAAACCCAGATGGCTCAGGCATCAAATGGGACAGGCACCCCTTTTCTCCAAAGCCAAGTTTCTCCACAGCCAATATGCTTTTCAGTAGTCACCAGAGAGACCACCTAAACTCCAAGCAACATCTCCATGGGGGGGGAGGGGGTTCCTGCTGGGACTGGAGCAGCCTTTTCCACACACACAAACCCCCCCCCCCAATAATTCTTGGCCATCTTTTTGACCTTGACGGCAACGTTTATGGGGTTAGGACGACCCCACACTCAACTTCTGGCGATGCCAGGCCCCAGCGAAGTCAGGCTGGCCACTGCCAGGGCCAGGGCGTTTTCAGTGGCGGCTCCTACCTGGTGGAACGAGCTCCCGGAGGAGATCTGGGCCCTGCGGGACCTTGCACAGTTCCGCAGGGCCTGTGAGATGGAGCTCTTCCGCCAGGCGTTTGAGTAGGAGCCGCCACTACCATCACAGCCTGGTCCTGGACGAGAGAACACCAAGGTCTCCCTGAGCAGACGACGCTGAGCTGGCGGGGCAGTTGCAATATGCCACCTTGTGGAAGAACAGAGCACTTTGTTAATAATAATGCTATTGTCCTGTTGAGTTTTTAAATGGTTTTAAAAATGTTTTATATTTGATACTGGCTTATGCCTGACTGTAAGCCTCCCTGAGCCCACGTTGCGGGGAGGGCGGGGTATAAATTAAACCTATAAATAAATAAATAAACTACATACATTATCTCCCTATTTCCTTCCTGTGCTTCCCCCCACATTGAGCGACCCCAAACTCCCCAGGGAAATGGGGAAGGGGTATTCGGTAGTGCCGGAAGAGAAAAATGGCCACCTTTCATTAAGACCCCCAAACTGAGATTTGCACAGGTTCCACCGGTTATTACGACTGCATCGTTTCATTGATAAATTTTCTGTCGTTTTACTGTTCGTCTCTGGAGAAATGCCATGTCTCTGGAGAAATGTCTCTGGAGCTGTCTCTGGAGAAATGCCATACGGATCTCCTTTTTTAAAAAATTAACTGGCTTCAAAGCCAGACAGGGCATCAATTTAAAAATAGCTTTTGATGTGTTCTGAGAGACGAAGGCCGTCCAGAGGAAAGATGGCAAATGGGATGGGGAGGGAAACCCACCGTCTCCAGCTGTTCTCCACATGGAATGGCTTTTCTAGTCCTCTCCCTGCTGTCCCGCGACCTCCCCCGCCCCATGCCATGTCTGCCACGGAGTTCTTCAAAAAATCTCTGCGCAAAAGTGCCACTGCAAGCTCTTCAGACCGATCGGCAATTTTGAATTATCACTCTGCACCAATGCTCCCTCTAAGATGTGGAGTCTTGTGAGCAAAAATTCTACTTCATAAGCAACTGGCATTCAAGTTGTGAGCGAGCGATTTGGCTCCTGCAGAAACTGATTTGCCCTGGAGCCATCGCTTCCTGAGCGGAGGCAAAAATGTGTGTAAAAGGTAAAGCAAAGGTTCCCTTGCTCGAAAGCCAGTCAAGTCCGACTCTAGGGTTGCGGTGCTCATCTCCGTTTCAAAGCCGAAGAGCCAGCGCTGTCCAAAGACGTTTCCGTGGTCATGTGGCCGGCATGACCCAACACCAAGGCGCACGGAACGCTGTTCCCTTCCCACCGAAGTGGTCCCTATTTATCTACTTGCAATTTCTCGCTTTCGAACTGCTAGGTTGGCAGGAGCTGGAACTAGTGATGGGAGCTCACTCCGTCATGCGGCAACCCGGGTCTCGAACTGCTGAACTACCGACCTTCCACAGCCTGCAGTTCAGCGTCTTAACCACTTGAGCCACCGCAGCTCCTCAAAAATGTGTGAGCCGGAGGCTAAAAAACTGCGAGCTAGCTCACACTAACTCAGCTTAGAAGGAACACTGCTCCGCACCTCCTAATCCCTCTCTAATCCCAACAGAATTCTGTGCTGCGTACACCCTCCTTGACTGAACAAGACCTATTCAACAGGAATAGGGGAAAAGGTGCATTTTTATAACCTAGCAGGCCCTCGAAAGAAACAGGACAGCCCTCGGCAGAGCAGGTTTCCGGCAGCCTTCGCAAATCCCCTGCCCGCAGCCGAAGCTTTGTTTTGCATTCATGAATGCGAGAGAGTGGGGAGAAGAGTACGGAATGTCCTTGAAAGACTATCAAATCCGACTGGGTCGCTTTCTCCCCCCCCCCTTCCCTTCCAGCCTCTTCTGCTTCCAAAAGGGGGGGGGGGAGGGAGGAGGGAGGGGAAGAGAAAAGATCAAGGCAGTTTCCACTCGACAGACGAAATGTGTGCGCCTTTCATTGCCAGCCCTCTCCGAAAAAGCGCACACACGGGTGATGGAAACCAGAAGGTCTGTTGGCTGTAGATGCCTCCTCTGCTGTTCGGTTTTTTTTTTTTTGTTCCCAGGCCCCCACCAATAGGCACGGTGATTAAAACACACACACACACACACACACAGGGGAGGAGGAACCCCTATCCCCCCCCCATCTCCGCCTGCTCTTTTTTCCATGGCAGCAGAGGAACAGTTACAGGAAAAGCTGGTAGTAGCGCCAGCAGCCAGCGCTGGCCTTCTCCTTCTACTCAAATTGCGAGAAGGGTGTGAAGAGCAAGACCAATCGGCAATTCTGAATGATCGCTCTGCACCAATGCTCCCTCTAAGCTGTGGAGTCCTCTGAGCAAAAATTCTACTTCATAAGCTACTGGCATTAAAGTTGTGAGCGAGCGATTTGGCTCCTGCATAAATGGGTTTGCTCTGGAGCCATCGCTCTTCCCCCGCCTCCTCCCCTGCATGCACCCCTAACCCCGTGCCACCCCTTTCCTAATCTCTTAGTGGCTCAGCCCTCTGTCTCAGTCCTATACCTCCCAGCTACTTCAGGGGCTGGGAAATACCTTTTTGAGAGGCCATCCCCAGAGGGCTGCCGTTGGTCCAGTCCTGAGCGGGGCCCAAAGCCAAGATGTTGTGGCTTGTGCGACAAACTTTTTTTTTCTGGTGGGGGCTGTGCAGGAAGGAAAGCCATTCAGCCAAGAGAAAGCTGTGACCAGAATAGATCTCTGAATTGCAAGCTGTCCACCCCTTGAGGTGACAGTTCTCAGCTGCCGGCCTAAGCAACCATTCTGATCAAAGGCCGGCATGTGGGGGTGAGGACTTCTAAAATTAAAGAAAGCTAACACTTAAGCAGAAAAACTCTCTTCAAGGAGACCAGTTTTTCTTGACACAGAGTGAGAAGGGGTCCTAGAGGCCACCTACTCCAACCCCCTTGCTCAGGGTGGGAATTAGTCAACGGCAGGACCCCAGGGAAGGGCAAGGTTGCTATTGCAGAGGCAGGCCATGGAAGGCCTCTTCTTCTTGTCTCTGCCCTGACACGGATGGCCCTCTGTTTGTCTCTTGCCTTGACCTGGATAGCCCAAGCTAGCCTGATCTCGTCAGATCTCGGAAGCTAAGCAGGTCCGGCCCTGGTCGGTACTTGGATGGGAGACCACCCAGGGAGTCCCGGGTTGCGACGCAGAGGCAGGCGATGGCAGAACCACCTCCGTCCGTCTCTTGCTTTGGAAACCCTACAGGCTCTCGATAAAGTTGGCTGTGACTTGAAAGCACTTCCCACCACCCCACTGACAGGGAGAACAGCACGAACTGCAAGTCTGTGTGTTTGTCTTTGTACAACAAGTACTTAGGATGGAAACTTTCTTCAGGAAAATATTCATCTGCTTTTCCCCAGGACACCGTGCCGAAGTACCCCCAACCACTGCAGGCTGAACACACAAAGCTGCCTTATACTGAATCTGACCGTTGATCCATCCACGTCAAAATTGTCTACTCAGACTGGCAGCAGCTCTCCAGGGTCTCAGGCGGTGGTCTTTTACTTCACCTACTGGCTGGTCCTATTTAACTGGAGATGCTGCCGGGGATTGAACCTGCGACCTTCTGCGTGCCAAGCAGATGCTCTACCGCTGAGCCACAGCCTCTCTTTATAGCTCTCCAGGGTCTCAGGCAGAGGTCTTTCCCATCACCTCCTGCCTGGTCCTTTTTAAGTGGAGATGCTGCCAGGGATTGAACCTGGGACCTTCTGCATGTCAAGCAGATGCTCTGCCACTGAGCACAGCCCCTCTTTATAGCTCTCCAGGATCTCAGGCAGAGGTCTTTCCTATCACCTCCTGCCTGGTCCTTTTTAAGTGGAGATGCTCCTGGGGACTGAACCTGGGACCTTCTGCATGCCAAGCAGAGGCTCTGCCACTGAGCCACAGCCCCTCTTTACAGCTCTCCAGGGTCTCAGGTGGAGATCTTTCCCATCACCTACTGCCTGGGCCTTTTTAACTGGAGGTGCCTGGGATTGAACCTGAGACCTTCTGCCTGCCAAGCAGATGCTCTACCGCTGAGCCACAGCCCCTCTTGACAGCTCTCCAGGGTCTCAGGCGGAGGTATTTCCCGTCACCTATTGCCTGGTCCTTTTAACTGGAGATGCCGGGGATCGAACCTGGGACCTTCTGCCAGCCAAGGAGAGGCTCTGCCACTGAGCCACGTCCCCTCCCTAGGTGCAGATCTGCTGTCTAGAAAAACTACAGATAAGGCTCCCATTATACGAACAGTTTGATTGGTGGCTTCGGGAGTCATCCCTGTTTTCCAGACTGTGAGGTCAAACGTGTATTCTACATCTGTTTCCAATATGGCTCGGGAAACGGTAACCACTCCTCCGGCGGCGCTGAAGTTCAGAGCACACCCTCCAGAAGAGCTCTGTGTGTGAAGAAGAGGGGGGCGGGGCAGGGGAGAAAGAAGGTTATTCAGCTCTTGACCTCAGATCAGAAGCCAGTGCCCTCCGGCGTTGGACCAAAGACCACTCCGAATGGGACCGTGTACTGCTTCTCCCTTATCCAGTGCCCCTCTCCCATAAAGCCTGCCGAAGAAAAGAGGTAAGGGGAAGGAGAGTGTTTCTCCCCCCCCCCAATTCACCCCACCCTCAGACCATCTCCCATTTGGGCTCCTTCCTTCTAGCTGACGTGGCACCTCTGGACACGGTACCGAAACCCACATACCTTCGAAGAACAATGTTATAAACGTGAAGGATATCAAAATAAAGATGAACCCCTCCTGTCACAGGCTAATCCTCTCCATTCTGAAAATGGGAGGTCCCGAGGCACAAATCTGGTGGGGAGCCAAATTCTCTGCTTGTGGATCTTTTGATTGCCAATTGAGGCTGTGGATCTGATAGCTGAGTGAACAGAAAAGGTCGTCTTGTCTTGGGTTGGCGCCTGGTCCCTTTCCTGGATTTGGTGTAGTGGTAGGAGCACGGATTCTAATCTGGGAGAACTGGGTTTGATTCCCCACTCCGCCACGTGCAGCTGTAGGGTGACCTTGGGTCAGTCACAAGTTCTCTCAGAGCTGTTCTCTCAAGGGCAGTTCTCAAAGAGCTCTTTCAGCCCTACCTACCTCACAGGGTGTCTGTTGTGGGAGGGGAAGGGAAAGGCGATGGTAAGCCACTCTGAGACTCCAAGTGAAGGGTGGGGTATAAATCCAATCTCTTCTTCTTCTTCATTTCTCCCTCCGTTGCTGACCCTCCAGAAAGCCAAAGAGTGGTCCAAACGTACAGCCCCTAGGGCAGCAGACGGCAAGGGAAGGATGATGGGGCCTGGATCTGCCATGTCTTCCCTTCTCTAAACGGCTCTTGGACAGAACTGGCTGCTGACCTAGATTCTCATCTTCGCTATGATAACATATTCAACTCCTGCCTCTAGCAGCAAAAGCAGGTTCCTAAGCCAGACTGCACTACACCGGAAAGCTATAACACAACTAGATTCGAGTCCAATAGCAGTTTAGAAACCAACACGGTTTTCAGGGTATGAGCTTACAAGAGAAGAAGAGGAGACTGGATTTATACTCTGTCCTGCACTCGGAGTCTCAGAGTGGCTTACAATCTCCTTTTCCTTCCCCTGTGAGGTACTGCTCTTGAGAGAACAGCTCTGAGAGAACTTGTGACTGACCCTAGGTCACACCAGCAGCTGCATGTGGAGGAGTGGGGGAATCAAACCCGGTTCTCCCAGATTAGGGTCCGCGCTCCTAACCACTACACCAAACTGGCTCTCAACGTTCCCTTCACCAGATAAGAAGAAGAACAGAGATTCCTGAACCCTTATATCACAGTCAGAAGGTGTGAGGGTTGTTACCACTTACCTTGGTGGATGACACACAGGTCCATCGGTAGTGCAACACCGTCTGCTCCCAGTCCTCGAGGTTAGGATCATAGGATTTCTCACCATCCAAGATTAAGTCTCGGGTGCTGGACCACACACGGTATGACCCCCCGTCGATGATGGGCACCAGCTTGTTGGGGACAACGGTCACATTGGCGAAAATGCTCTTGGACAGGGGTGTGTCTCTGAAACGGACCAGGAATTTGAAGCAGTAGTTCCCCAGGTCCAGGGCAAGCTTGGGAATGACCAGCTGGGGTCGGCTCATGTCTACGGCGGGCAAGCGGACTTTGTCGGTGCCGCTCAGCCACAGGCAGCTGGAGGCTCTGTAAATCTCCCACGCGTATTTCGTCCGGTACCGAAAACACCCCCGCAGGTCGATCTGTGCCTCCAGGTAATTCTTCTGCGACCGCTTCATGACCACCTGTGCAGGCAAGACCAGCTCCGCCTCCGGTTCCTCACACTCCAGCACTCGGACCGTGACCGTCAGATGGGTGATGGCAAAGCTGATGAGGTTGGTGGCATTCACCTCCACCAGGTATTCCCCCGGCCTCCGGTAGGTGTGGCCGGCGGATGCCATGATGCTCTTTTGTGCTGGAGAGCCGTCCCCAAACTGCCACCAAAACACAACCTGCCTTGCACTGGGCAACACTGACGCTTCGAACAAGGATGTCCGGTTGGCAAACGGTTCAACGGGCTTGAGAGAAAACTGCACTATTGGGTCCTGGACTTGGATTACTACGCTTACGTTCATGCTGCCCAAGCCATTGAAAGCGGTGAGATGGATCTCCAGCAACCCAGCAGCCTCTGGGGTATACGAAACACTCTTGCCTTCCAGGGCCACTTGGGAATGTCTCAGCTCCTCTTCTAAGGAAAACTGCCACAGATAAGACACCCGGGAACCCTTCCCAATCTCAGCTGTGAAATGCCTCTCCATCCCTGTTGGCGTGCCTGGCTCACAGCAGTCCGCAATCCGCAAGTCGGAGATGGGTTCCAGCACAATGATGTGGACCTCAACCTGGGCCACACTGACGAAGTTTTCCGCAGTGACCTTAACCCTGTAGTCTCCGACCTGGGCAAACGCATGGGTGAACCTGGAGGCGTTGAGTGCCACCATACGATCCCCGCCGATGCTCACCCCGTAGCTCACAGAAGACCCAGAAGACATTTCAATGACAAAGGAGACCTCTTCCCCGGGCTCCACCACTTCCTCACTCACGTGGAGCTGTAGACCCTGGATTGCATCTTGCACGGTGATATTGTGGCAAGCCGTTTCCCAGCTGACCTCGTTGGAAGCATTCAGATAGACGGAGAAGGATCCTGCTGTGGGGAACTCCAGAGCAACTCTCTGGCCCGTTATGGTTCTGTTCTGCGACTTCCACTTCCAAGCTACATCAGTCCCCCTTTCAAGTTCTCCGCGGAAGTTCACTACGGAGCCGGATCTGACATAACTCCCGTCTAGATTGACGGTCTGGATCTTCAAACCCACGATCGGCTCCTGGACAAATACGAGAAGTGTCGCGTTGGCAGAACCAAATTTGTTTTCCACTGTAACCATGATCACCTTGACACCGGGGCTTTGGAAAGAATAGGCGACGAAAGGGTTGGACGTGAGAAGAAGGATGCCCTCCTCTAGGTACCAAGTATATGCCAATCCGGTCCCTGTGGCGACGCTGATGCTTATATTAATGGAAACGTTGACTGCTGCAGGGTTAGGAGACGCAACGGGTTTCAGGACGCCGATTTGCTCAATGAACTCCAGTGTCTTGTTCACAGCCAGACTCCCCAGCATGTTCGTGGCTTTCAGGTGGATAACGTAGACGCCCGCTTCCATCACGAGCAAGGAGAAGGTCTTCCCTGTGAAAGTCTGTACAGGGTAGCCTTCTTTTAGGGCTGACCAGCTGTAGGAGATGTTGGTCCCTTCTCTCACTCCCGCCTGGAGCTGGAGCGTCTTGTTGGTGGGGAAGAAGGCGTCCTCCAGGAGGTCGCCGCTGGTCACCTGCAGCCCTTCGATCTGCTGCAAGACGTAGATGAAGATGCTGTCTTGCAAAGACCCGATCTCGTTCTCCGCCGTGACGATCACGTTGAAGGTCCCGATAGAGCGGAAGGTATAAGAGATGGTGGACGTTCCGGGGATCGGGGTGCATCTGTCACACAGGATCCAAGAGTACCGGATGGCTGTGCCGGCGAGTAAGGTGGCCGTGAAGCTCACAGAGCCGTTGAGCGGGACTATGGTCTTGCTGGCATTGATGGCCAGCCCTTGGAGACGCCTCTTTACTGTCACGTTGAGTCTCGCTTCGGTGTGGCTCACCTCATTCCATACTCTCAGGCTGAGGGCGTAAATGCCACTTTTGTTGTACGAGTGGGTGACGAATTTCCCCAGCTGGCTGGTGCCGTCCCCCAAATCCCACAGATAGCTCGCTTTGGTCCCAGTGACGTTGGCAGAAAACAGATAGATCTGGTTCAGCTCCAAGACCTTTGACCCGTTGGACTCAATCTTGGCTACCCCGACTGGCTCCAGGACTTTCACGATGGCTGTGTCGTTGTTGAAAGACACATTGTTGGACACCGTGACTGTGACTAAGTAGCTGCCCGGGGTTTTATACGTGTAGCTGACTTCCGTCCCGCCAAACCGAGCTGAGTCGTTGGCCCCAAAGTCCCAAAAGTAACGGTAGTTGTAAGGGGGCGAGGCTGCGACCTGGAACCTGCTCTCGTTGCCGAGCATGACAAAGGGTGGGCCGGACAGTGTGACGTTGGTGATCTCTGGTTCCACACACACTACGGTGTAATAGCTGACCTTGCTTGAGAGGACCAAAGAGAGCGAGAAGACACCGCTGCGGGTAAAGTTGTGTATCACCGTAGGGTCCCCGTCCACTGTCACGTTGGAGGAGCCGTCCCCAAAGGTCCAGTCAAAAATATAGTCAGCGGGGTCTCCTGAGACGTAAGCGGTCAGCTGTACTTCGGGGTGCTCCGCGATGCAAGAGGAAGGCTCGATCTTGAGGACCATCAGCACAAATATCTGGACGGCCACCGCCTGGGAAATGGAGTTGACCGGATTCGCCGCCGTCACGTTTATGGTGCAGTTGTCCTCTTCTAAATAGATGTGTTTCACGGACCCCACGGAACTTTCCAGCACTGTCCCGTCGCCCATATCGAATACCCAGGTGACGTTATCCCCCGTCTCCACGGAAGCGTTGATCTTGACCGGCGTGCGGAGCTCTATCGCTTTGTTCAAAGTCACCCGCAGCCCGCTGATCTCTTCAAAAACGCGGTACAGCTCGAACACCTCCACAGTGCTGATGGTGTTGTTGGCTTGTAAGCTGACATTGTACGTCCCTTTACGGCTGTAGGTGTGGACGATGGTAGGCTGGCTTTCCACAAACGCCGTGCAGCCATCGCCGAAATCCCAAGTGTAGGAGACCCCAAACCTGGAGGGAAGAGGGGAGGCTTCAAAACTGACAGGGTGACCCACAACCAGGACGTCTGTATTCGCTTCCATGGTCACGTCCAGCAGAAAAGTGTAGATGTGGACAGGGGTGGCATAGGTCAGGTTTTCAAACTCATTGAACACCGAAACAACTAAGGTATATTGGCCTATATTGGGAAAAAGAGAGAAAATGAGGGTAGACACCCTTCACGATAATGGAAACAGCAGCCATGAAATTGCCCCTAGCTACAATTCCTTTTGTTAGCATTCACATGATCGCTCCAAGCCACAATTCCTCTTGTGTTCTGCTGAACTTCCTTGTAAGGCTATCCCCGAGTCCCAGGGTCACTAACAAAAAGCCCTTCTTGCCAAGGTCGATCTCTTGCAATGATGGAATGCAGGGGTCATTTCGTAGAAAAAGAGGTGCGGGAGCTCATTAGCATAATTCATCAGCATACTCATTTGCATATGCCACACACACCCCTGGTATCACCGGAAGTGTGTCAGAAGGCAACACCCACCGCTCAGGCTCCACTGGATAGACTCTGGGTGGGGGGGGATGCGCAGATCGTTGTGCTCCTCGTGGCCCAGGGCTGCTGGGAGCAGGGGGCGGGGCTTTTTGCTTGTGCCCGCCCCCTGGGCTCTTTACTGCCAGAGCTGCGCTCCTGCAGGAAATGACCCCTGATGGAATGTGAAACCTCGTACCAGAAGCAGATTTTTCAAGGAAAACCGCTCAAAGACTAGTGCTTTTCTGTGTGAATTCACAGCACACTAAACGCTACAGGTTGGATCCTACTGATTGAGTCCACTAACGCAAGTGCTTTCTTCTGGCACAAGGGAACTTCTACTGGCAGAAGAGTGGCTTGCATCGACAGAGGACCCCTTGAAGCGGAGGAAACCACCACAGTGGAACAGGTCTGTCTGCTCCTGCTCTCTGTACAGGGAGTACCAGAGTTTTAAAAGCCAACAGGAGAATGCAGAATCAAGACAACCTTGGAAGGGCCGGCTTTCTCACTCTGCCAATCCACTTGCCATTATCAGTGAGCCAGATACTATTTAAGAATGTTTATTAATGTATTCATATTATGATGCTGAATAGTTTTGTGATCCGCCCTGAGCCCACCTGTGGGGAGAGCTGAATATAAGTTCAAAAATAAATAAAACAGATAAATAAAGAGCTGGAGGAAAGGGGGCAGCTCCCACAGTTGTAACGGATGCCGAAGCTTTTCTCACCTGGTTCTTGGTAGGTGTGCGACACATTGTGAGTGATCACCACCTGATGCACATTGGGATCCGGCATGAGGAAAGAATCATTATAAGGAGGCATAAACTGGGAAACAGCCTTGTCGCCGTCTCCAAAATCCCACCTGAGGAGAGAAGAAGATAACAGATGTTGACATGGACTCGCAGAGAAACAGAAGGACTACAGCCTTCAGTAGTGAGCTGAAGTTTTGCACAGATGAGAACGATCCACCGAAAAAGAAGACTAGCCATCGCACTCACAAGAACGTGGCATCCACGGCAGAGTCCACCATAACCACAGCGGACAGGTCCACAGTGCTGTTCTGAGGGACCAACGACGGGATTTCGGAGACCACCAGGTCCTTCATCTTGTTCATCTTCTCCACGGTGATGTTGTAGTCCACGGTGACATTGCTGACGTGGTTGGAGGCGGTGAGCTGCACAAAACGAAGGCAATTTTTTTTTGTCGTGCCTCAGATTCCCTCGTCGCAGAACCATAGTTAGTACAGATGTGGATATAACAATAACCATAGCAGACTTGGCATGTCTTGTTTGTGGAAAGAAACGTAAACCCACATTTGAATACAGGTATCCCATTCACAACTGCATAAGGGGCAGGCCCGTAGCCAGGATTTTGTGGCTTGTGGGGCAATTTTTTTTTCTGGTGTGGTTGAAGTTCTCAGTGCTGAAAGAAAAGCCAGAATTCGGAGTCTTCTCAAGCTGTCTGTTCTACACAGGTGTTCTTAACCATTTAACTATTGATCTCTAAATTGCAAGCTGTCAACCACTTTAGATGACAGTTCTCAGCTGCTGCAAGTTAATCACTTCTGCCAGCCAAAGCAACAATTCTGAGAACAAGCCGGCAGGTGGGGGTGATGACTTCTACAGTCAAGAAAGCCAACACTTAGGCAGAAAACCTCTCTGAAAGGAGACCAGTTTCTTGACACAGAGTTAGAAGGGATCCTAGAGGCCACCTACTCCAACCCCCTTTGCTCAGTGCGGGAATTAGTCAACTACAGCGCCCCACTCTGCTTAAAGGAGTGCATACCTTTAAAAAGTGTTTTAAAATGATTGGAAAAAGCATTTACAGGAGAAATTCTTGTGGGGCTGTGGCTTTAAGAAAGGGGGCAAAGCCCCCCAAAGCCCCACCGTAGCTACGGGCCTGGTCGGCCGTGCTCTGGCGAAACACACTGGAGGATCTCTGCAGCGATGCCCAGCTCCTCCAGCAGGACAGAATGAAGCAAGCAGTGAGGAGTCTCCGCTTACCGAGAGCTTGTACACAGCAGGGGTCTGGTACACAACCTTGAAGACGTTGTTGTAGAAAGTGAAGGAGGGTTTATCGTCCACCATCCACCTGAAGGTGACATCTGATCCGGCGTCCATCATGGGGACGTAGCTCTGAAATGGGTGGAAACAGCCGGCATGGCACTGAGAGAGGAAGAACATAGGCTGCTTTGCACAAATGCTCACCTGATCGCTAAGACTTTTGTCAGCCTCAGGCAGGACATCCAAGAGACACCAGTCGGGCTTCTGCCTCAACCAAAAAAGTGAAAGAGAAGCCAGCAGCTGGAGGTGAGAGGCTGCTGTTACACCAATGAGAGCCAGAGAGAAAAACAGGGAAATGGGTCTTGAGGACCATGCTTAGTGGGTGCAGATTAGTGGTCTCAGAGTCTTACAGGGCTGGGAAGGTAGGATTTCTGCATCCAGAGACATTTCAGTCAGGAAATCCAAAGAGAGCTGAATTCAGCGACTGAACATATTCACAATTTCCCTTCATTCTGCTTATGCTGCTCATAGAGTGGAACTGTATTGGGCAGTGAAGCCCCTACATGATGAAGATCTTTTTCAACCTCTCCTCCAATGTCCCCTCTAAGCTGAGCTGGTGTGAGCTAGCTCACAGTTTTTTTAGCCTCCAGCTCAGACATTTTTCTCTTAGCTCATGAAGGAGGGCTCCAGTGCAAACTCAATGTTGCAGTAGCCAAATCACTCGCTCACAACTTTGATGCCAGTAGCTCACAAAGTAGAATTTTTACTCACAGGACTGCGAAGAACTGCAGCAGACTCCTGTGTGAGTATTTATTTTAAATTCTGTATTTGGGGACAGAAATCTAAATGCATTTCAGTGCGAAATAGTCAATTTAGGTGGAGATATGTAACTAAGGGGCATGTGCTGTGATTGTAATTTTATGTCTTGAACTTTGCATAAGGAATTTCACTCTACACCGGGTTTGAAGGGAAAAAAGAGTGGTAGGCAGTGTTCCCTCTAAGCTGAGTTAGTGTGAGCTAGCTCACAGTTTTTTGGCCTCCAGCTCACACATTTTTGTCTACGCTCAGGAAGGATGGCTCCAGAGCAAACTAATTGATGCAGCAGCCAAATTGCTCGCTCACAACTTTCGTGCCAGTCGCTCACAAGGTAGAATCTTTGCTCGCAAGACCCCACAGATTAGAAGGAGCATTGGTCGTAGGAGATATGTTCAAGAAGACAGTAATAGAGATGAAGGAGGGAAAGATTAGAGTAGAAGTAGTTGGCGGTATGATTGATTTGGAGGAGCAATATCTCGATCAAGAACGTAAGTGGAGGAATGGAAACCATTTCTCAGTAAAGTTTGTTTGTCTGGGATAGATGTCCGATTGGAATAGTCTGGCTGTAATTTTTTCCCATTATTAAGTGATCCCAGATCTTTAAATACCATTCTGACAATGAGGCGATCGATGGTAGCTTCCAACGCCTTGCTAGTATCATCTGTCTAATCACATGCTTCGTCATGCCTGTTAAAACATTTGGTATGATTTGCGTGTGTAATCATATTTTGTTCCTATCTCGCATGAGATGTAATTCCCTTGTTATAGCAATAAAGGTTATTAAAATTAAAAAAATAAAAATAAATGCATTTCAGAAAATCGCCCTGTCCCCTCGCCCCCAGCATTCTGGTACCTTCCTGACAACTCACCACTCGTTTGTTCAGCAAGACTCGGGTTTCTGGGTCCGGGGTCGCACGGAGTCCTCGAATGGGCTCTTCGGCTTTCACCACAACACTGACGTTCTGGGAGCTCACGGCATTCTCCGCCCACAGCACGGTGGTGCTGAAGTTCAGCCCAATGCCATCAAGCACGATTACAGAGAACCAGGAGTCGTTGGTTTCTATGGCGCACTCCGCCGCCAGCAGAGCGACTGCAGGCGGACAGTGCCTTTCGAAGGGGAAGCTCTGGTTCCCCCCTAGCCAGCCGGCAGATGCGTTTTCCCCGGAAGAGATCTTCACCAGCAGCCAAGTGCTGTTGGTCGGCACGTAGATCTTGCCATCTTGAACTGCAGGGTAGACGACACGGAGGCCCTCCACGGGAGAAACAGCCCAGAAATGGCAGGACAGATTGGCGACGAAGACTCCGTTGTCTACCGTGGCTCTCACGGCGTAGGGGCCATAGCGACCCACACCAGAATTCTTTGGACTGATAATGGACACCGTCTCTTCAGATACATAGAGAACTCTGAGGAAGCATACAGAGTCGTTCCGCCCGCTGCTGGCTGTGTTGCGGGCAGGGAAGCCAGGGTCCCAGTCAGAAGAATTCAAAGTTAAGTAGCGGATTTGGTCCGATGGTGTCAGGCTCGGGCGGCAAAGAAGGAAGGCGCCAGGTCCCGCGTCATGTTGGATTCTCATGGTATCATTGGGCCTGACAAAAGTGTCTTTCCCTCTGAAAAGCAACTGCAAGAGAGAGACAGAAGGCACCGTGAGCCCAACGTTTTTGATCCAGTCCTTGCTGCAGGGGTCAACAAAGCACCTGTTGTGTAGTTCCTAGCTAAATACTGGGAGAAGGGGATTGCTGATTTAGAGATGTGAAGGCCCGGAAAAAAAACGGAAAAATTCGGGGGAAAACCAGTTTTTTCCCATTTTTTCCTGAAGCCTTTTTTGTTTTTTTTGAAAAAAATTGGAAAAATTGAAAAAAGAAAAGAAAAAAAATTGACTATGGAACATTTTATTTTAACATGATGAATAGAATATTTTAAGACAAGGTGTTCAAATATTTTCCAAATCATTTCTAAAATATATATATATGGTATCAGATTGATCTAATTTCTGTGCACTGAGGACAAGCAAGTCCTAGGTTACAAACTGAACTCTCCAATGCAAGAACAAGATGCATTTCTTCCTTTAGGAGGTGCGATTGTCAGAAGAAAATAAAAAGGTTTCAGTTTTGTTTTTGCATGTGGGTGGGTATTCTGTTTGTAATAATTGTTTGGATACACGGCCAGCATTTCGCATGATGTACTCTGCATATATATTAAATAAGCAAGGTGACAATATACATCCTTGTCGTACTCCTTTTCCTATGCTAAACCAATCAGTTGTTCCATATCCGGTTCTAACTGTCCCTTCTGGACCCTTATACAGGTTTCTCAAGAGACATGTGAGGTGCTCTGGTACTCCCATCTCTTTAAGGACCTGCCATAGTTTGTTATGATCCACACAGTCAAAGGCTTTAGCATAATAAGTGAAGCAGAAGTTTTTCTGGTACTCTCTTGCTTTCTCCATAATCCAGCGAATGTCGGCAATTCGATCTCTCGTTCCTCTACCTCTTTGAAATCCAGCTTGTACTTCTGGCAGTTCTCTATCCACGTACTGTTGAAGCCAAGCTTGTAGGATCTTGAGCATGACCTTGCTAGCGTTTGAAATGAGTGCAATTGTGCAATCGTTTGAACATTCCTTGGCATTGCCCTTCTTTTGGACTGGAATGTAAACTGATCTTTTCCAATCCTGTGGCCACTGTTGTGTTTTCCAAATTTGCTGGCAAATTGAGTGCAGCACTTTAACAGCATCATCTTTTAAGTCTTTGAATAGCTCAGCTGGCTACCCCAGTGAAAAGTGAGAACAACAGGAGGTAAGTCTTGGACAGTGCAGTGAAAAGGCCCTGCAGAATTGTTCAACTGTCAGGTTCACTTCACCAGTTTAAATGCTGTCACTTTATGCTCTGTTATTTTGAGTGCAAAACTGATACTTTATTTTAGATTTCCTCATGCCTGCAAAAAGGGGGGGGGGTGTCAAGGCAGAACTGATGCAGTTTCTAGTCTGTTGTTAGATTGGTGAAGTGAAAAAATTATAGGTCCAGAAGAAAGCTGAGAAAAAATGACCATGAACAACACAAAGGCTGGCTGTCCTGAGTATGATTTGTTCCGTCTTTGTTGTTTAGTGTTAGTACATATTCAAGGCTGCATTTGTCACTGATAGCATCTCAAGAACAACACTTATAGGTACTGGGGTTGGATAAGGACAAGTTTTTCATGGCAATCACCATATGTTTCTCAAGACTACATATTTTTAGTACAAATTTATTATTTGAGAAATGGCCATAATGTAGAACTGAAATAGATGAAAGCTCACTTTTGGTAACAATGTTGAAAGCATCTAAATGTGACTGTAAAATAAAGCTGTGTTGCAATATATCTTGACTAACAGCAGAAAAATAGTGAGATGATGTGGACTGAGTGTTAGACTTAGAACGATGAGACCTGGGTTCCAACTTTTGCTTGGCCATTAAAGTTCCTCTTAAAATTGGAATCATGAACTTCAAATCACATTTCTAGCCCTTTCATTTTGTTAAGCTGTAGATTGGTTGAAAAAGAATTAGTAATACAGAATTCTTGGAATACAGTTCAAGATGCTGCTTCAGTTGACTAGTTCTTCAAAGTGTGCTCTAAAATTCTCATGCAGTGCTTTCCTTTGAGTTACCTGTCATAAACTACTCAGATCTCTCTAATGTGAAAAAAACAAAATTGCTACATCTCTGTCACATCTTACAAGTGGTGTCTTCTGCTATGAAAGGCCATTGACTGATCTAACAGAATATGTAAAGGCTGATCCAGACAGAGAAAGAAGAGGAGGCTTCTCTCAGTCACTTAAACTCAGCCATCTCCATGTCCTGATCTAACATCCGGCCTTCAGCAGCAGAAAAGGATTATATGATCTTTTCACTTCATTTGTTTGTAATTACTGTGGGGCAGGGTAGAAACTTTTCATTGGGAAAGTTGCTCAGCAGTATCTGGTCCTGTTCATTAAGATATTGGCACCCTGGTTCCAAAACACTGGACATAAATCCTGTTGTGAATTAATGAATTTAAAACTATCCAGTACTTTAATCTAGTCTCAAATCAACTTTAGTTGATACCCATCTCAAAATACCCGCCTCTTCCCGTATGTTCCCCTGAGAGCGCTGCGATCTGGGAGCCTGGACCTTCTTCAGGTTCCGGGCCCACGAGTTATTAAGCTCACCCAAACCAGGGCCAGGGCTTTTTCGGTGGCGGCTCCTACCTGGTGGAATGAGCTCCCGGAGGAGATCAGGGCCCTGCGGGACCTAGTACAGTTCCGCAGGGCCTGCAAGACGGAGCTCTTCCGCCAGGCTTTTGAGTAGGAGCTGCCGAACAGATTATCTTTTATTTCCCAATATTTTTCTAAATAGTCCTTTAAATCTCTCCAGTCATTATAAAATTCTTCTGCTTCCCTGTTATTTAATTTTCTTGTCATTTTATCCATTTCAACTGCAAACAATAATTTCTTCATCCAATCTTCAATCTTCGGGACTTCTTGTTTCCAACATTGCGCATGAGTAACTCTAGCTGTTGTCACCATATACCACATCAAAGTTCGCTTAGCTACACTGACCTCTTCTAATTTCAGTCCCAAAAGCAAAAGTTCTGGCTCTTTTTTAAATGTATATTTTACAATCTTTTCCATCTCTAAATGGATTTGAGTCCAAAAGTTTTTTGCTTTTTCACAAGTCCACAGAGTAAAGCTCTTTTTTCCCTAAGCCCTTGAGCTGCTTCCACAAAAGTTTCCAGTTCCTATTCCCCCCCTCCCTCTACCTAGTTTGTGTGAGGACACGTGTCAACAAGCTGTCAAGAAACTTTCCCCCAACTCAACGTGGAGTAAGTTGGATAGTTCTGGCTGTAAGAAAAGTTAAGGGAAACCGCATACAAACAATTTTTAAGGCGTAATTTCTTTTTGCATGTGTGCGATTCACTTTTTTTATATATATAGGTCTTAAGTTGCCTTGTCTTATTGCAAGCCACCGCCAGGAGGTCTGTAGAGACAGCGAAGAAGGGGAAATATCTACAACAGGGGTCCCCAACCTTTTCAGCCTGCGGGCACATTGGGAATTCTGACACGGCACAGTGGGCAGAGCAACAAAATGGCTGCCACAAAATGTCTGCCACAAGTGTCAACCCCGCGCCCCGTTTCTCAGGCTTGGTTGCCATGGAGACCGAGGGGAGTGAGAAGAATGTCTACTTTCGCTTTTAGCCTCTTCTAGGTTGCTCTTGTTATCTCAGTCGGCCTAGGCAAGTAACCTTGCGCCCCAGCAGAGCCTGGTGTCATCTTTTCCCTGGGAACTATGAGCTGTTATTTCGGCGGGCCTCATGCTTAGGCGTGATTGGCCCCGGGCCATTAGGGTCCTGCTTGATTTAGGTATAATTGTTTGCTTCGCGCGCTTTCCCCAAGTTCTAACACAGAAGGTCAAGAGTATGGATCCTATCAATGTCTCGATAAACTTTATATTATTTTGAATGACGGTTGTTGGGAACTGATTTCTCCAGGGGGTCTGACAACAGGAGGCGGAGCCAGCCATAGAATCATTGCCACAGCTTAGCTTCAGTCGTACAGTGCAGATCCTTGCGCTGTGGTGGCAGCTGCTGCCAAATGCACCATTTTTTAAAAAAATCTGCACAGCCGATCAAGAGCCTTGCTGGGCAAAAGCCCGCCCTGGCCCCACCTGCTTCCTAAAAACACTTGGCAAGCACCAGAAAAGGTGTCAGCGGGAACCAGGGAACCCAGATTGGTAACCCCTGATCTACAACATCCCAGCTGGAAGTCCAAGCCCTTGGGTGCGGAAAGCATTCCTAGACAGGCAGGAAAATCACATTCTCCCCAAAGGTGGAGTAAAGGATGGCGGGGCAGTTTCAGAAGCCAGAGAAGATTTGTGGGGACACGGGTGGTGGTGGGGATGCACAGTAAAAGCTGCAAAACAGAATCACAGAAAAGGTTAAGAGGAAATAGTGCAAATGTACACAGTTTGCATAATTTCCACAGGGTGCAGAATCTGGCTTTCTGCGGCACACGATCCTGTTTGTTTTCTTTTGAAGACCACACACACACACGCACACACCCAGGCCTGGCCCTGACGGGGTCGAAGGCGCCACTTGCCTGGCGGCTTGTACTCGCAGACGTAGCTGTGCTTGGCCATGCAGAGGTCCGTGTTGCACTGGCCGGCGGGGCCCATCCGGACGCAGTGGTCGGCGTTGGATGGGTGTGGCTCTCCAGGGAGCCAGTTCTGGCAGCTCTGCAGGTCGAAGCCTTCTCCCTGCTGCCGGGGGCCGCCGGGGCCTGCCATGTCGTTGAACCCGATCCAGACGTCCAAGCTCCTTGGTGGGGGAAGAGAGGAAAAGGGGAGAGAGGGTTCATTAGAAAGTCACAAGGGCTGAGCGCGAGAACACTGGTAATCCTGCGACTGTCCTTTTGGTTTTAGTTTTTGTAACCCTACGAATGCATTTGTCTCTTACGGCCAGTGTTCCCTCTAAGCTGAGTTAGTGTGAGCTAACTCAGTTCTTTAGCCTCCGGCTCACACATTCTTATCTTAGCTCGGGAAGCACGGCTCCAGAGCAAACTAATTTATGCAGTAGCCACATCATTTGCTCACAACTTTAAAGCCAGTAGCTCACTAAGTAGAATTTTTGCTCACCAGACTCCACAGCTTAGAGGGAACATTGCTTACGGCCACTCTGAATGCTCCACAGTTAAGGTTTTCATCACAGTGATAACGTGTGTTTCTCTCGCAAGAGTTTCAGAAATTTAACGGCACGGCAAGAATAAATTATTTCACTCCCCGTCTGGCTCTAAGCCATCGGATTCTTTAAGGTGCCCCTGAGTATGAAATCGTAGCTTGATCCGACCACAGATTAAGCTGACGTCTGTCTGTGAAATGGGAGGTAATAATGTGGCTAAGCCCCCTGCAGCGAAATAAATTATTTTGTTACTCATGACAATAGAGATGAAGAAATATCAAAGATAAGCAGCTGGCAGGACAAAGGGATAACCTCTGAAGCCAAGCTCCAGCATCTGTAGCCCAGTCCTTACGCTTTCCCTCCCTCCTCTTTCCCAGAGGGCCCGGTAGCAGCCAACAATAAGACACCAGAAACAGGGCAAGAAATACCATCTCATCTTGGTCTAAAATTTCCCCTATGGGAAGAAACAAAATCCCAACCCCGCTCCCCTTCCCAGCATGAATAAAGGATAACAAACCATTAGACAAGTTTTTTACAGCCAATTCTAGATATAAGAACTACTAGTTTTTCCGTCCGATAAAAAGATCCTCAATATGAAAGGGCAGAAATGAGCAAGAGTCCAGTAGCCTCTTAGAGACTAAGGCAGGGGATGAGCTTTCACTGCTCACTGCTTCGGACAGATCAAGATGGGCAGCCGTGTTATTGTGTCAGTGGCAGCAGAAATGAGCAAGACTGACAAAATTTGTGGCAGGATAGAAGCTTTTGTGAGTCACTGCTGACCTCTTCAGGTACAACTAGAAGTGAAATGTATCTGAAGAAGTGAGCGGTGACTCACAAAAGCTCCAGAGTCCCTTGGACTGCAAGGAGATCAAATTAGTCAATCCTAAAAGAAATCAACCCTGACTGTTCCCTGGAAGGCCAGATACTGAAGGTGAAGCTCAAAGACTTTGGCCACACAATGAGAAGGGAGCACTCACTGGAGAAGACCCCGATGCTGGGAAAGATTGAAGGAAAAAGAAGACGGGGACGGCAAAGGGTGAGATGGTTAGACAGTGTGATCGATGCAACGAACATGAAATTAAGCAAACTCCGGAGCACGGCGGAAGACAGGAGGGCCTGGCGTGATGTGGTCCACAGGGTCGCGAAGAGTCAGACTTGACTGTGTGACTAAACAACAACAAGGTGTTCCTGGACTCTTGCTCATTTCTACTGCTACAGACACAATAGCGTAGCTACCCATCTTCATCTACCTCAATATGAAAGGGGTAAGACAAGGGGGAATTTCACATTACCCAGTTTCACCCGGTTTCAAGCCGGCAATCATCCGTTTTGAAGTGAACCGGTACAGGGCTGCCATTTCACACAGGGCTTGCCCCTACCGGAAATGAGCCGGATCAGAAGCGGTTTGGCATTTCAGACTTGCACCGCTTTGTTTTCCCGCCGTTTTCCTCCCGCGCGGGTGATCGATTTTTTTTTTAAAGTTCGATTTACAGCGCGATAGCAGTATAACAAAACACTCTATGCATTCCAATGGAATTGATATAATGCTATTCCTTTATACCGTCATAGCGTTATAGCGCTATAACACTATAAATCGAACGTTAAAAAAAACCAGCCGGAGATCGCCCGCGCAGGCGAAAAAAGGCGGGAAAAAAGCGTATCGGAACCGGGAGAGGGCACTGGAGACCACTTGGAAGTGGATGACAGGTAAAACGCTTCAGTCCCGGTTCCTAAACGGGACTGAAGCGTTTGTGTATGAAATGGCAAATAGATTCCGGAAGGGAACCGGTTCTCAAACGGGTTCTGTCTGAAATGACAGACCAGAACTTGTTTGAGAACCGGTTCCCTTCCGGAATCTATCGCCTGTCTGAAATTCCCCAAGGTCTGTCCTAGCACAGCGTTCACCAGGAATCATTTTGCCTGAGGCTGTGTTCTAAGAGACGTCTGGCAGGTATACCAGATTCTCTGGTCTGTCTTCTTCGCAATCTTCTGAGTGCTGGGTGGTTGAAAGAGCCATTAAGTTGCAGCTGATTTATGTCGAACCCGTAGGGTTTTCAAGGCAAGAGACTTCAGAATTGGTTTCCCATTGCCTGCCTCTGTGTAGCGACCCTTGAATTCCTCACTGGTCTCCCACCCAAGTACTAGCCAGGGTAGTACAAGAGTACCCTGCTTAGCTTCTGAGATCTGATGAGATCGGGCTAGCCTAGACCATTCAGGTCAGGTCAAGAATCAAATAGAGGTGGCTTGTGACTGCCTGGCTCTGCGTAGCAACCCTGGACTTCCTCAGTGGCCTCCCAACCAGGGCTATTTTGGGGCAGGAACACACAGGAACGGAGTTCCGGCTGGCTCCTGAGTTGGCCACACCCAGGAGGAACTCATTAGGATTGGCTACATTAGGGGTGTGTGGCCTAACATGCAAAGGAGTTCCTGCTACCAAAAAAGGCCCTGGGTTTTGACAACAAGGTAAACAGAATAAGAAGCAAAAGGTGGGTGTGGCTGGATGACCACACTTCTGGTAACATGGGGGTGCAGCCTAATATGCTAATGGGCTGTGCTGTCAAGTGTGTGGCCTAATATGCTAATGATGGTCTGCTGTTGGGTGTGGCCTATTATGCTAATGAGTTCCTGCTGGGTTTTTTCTACAAAAAAAGCCCTGCCTCCCAACCAAGTACTAACCAGGACCAATCCTGCTTAGCTTCCTTCTGGGTATTGGCTGATTTTATTTGGGTCTTCTTGACTGTGGCAGCTGCCTTGATTTGTTTCCCAGTTGTCAGTTTCTCTTAACTTGGGAGAATCTTTTGCAGTCGATGAGTTAGGTTATTATTCAGGTAGCTTCAGGGTCTTGACAACCGTGCACCCTTGATCTATGTTGTTTTGTTTTGTGTGCCTCTAACGCTGTCTTTGTAATTTAAATTCAGGCTGAATGGAAATCCCCCAAGCGGCATCTTATATTTGCTGCTACCAGCTTCTCTGTGACGGGTTTCACGGCTTGTCTCCCCCC